CGTTGCGTTATGTTTTAAAATATATAAAAAAAAATGTATATTTCTGAACTAAATCAGTCGTCCCTCCATCCAAACTGAGAGCCGAGCTGCGCATGTCCCTCTCTCTCCCTCTTAGTCTATGTCTCTCTCCCCTTCTCTCACCTCGCGTCAGCCAGGCGGAGCTGCCGTGCTGCATGCTTAACGGAGGTTCAAGATGGACGCCAAACGGGGTTAGTCTGGTCATAATCTTTTGTTTACCGACCGTCTCTCAACTCTTTTACATAACGCCTTTGCGTACGGTTATGTCTCGTTTATTCAGTATTTGCATGAGCACCGGGTACGAGGCTTCAGCCCAGGGGAGGGCTGGAGGCGGACCGGGCCGCCTGCGGAGGTCATGCCGGACGGTTTGACGTTTTGTCCCCGCGGTGAGGACTAGGCTGCCGGTGGGGGGGCTGACAGACAGGATAATAAAATGCGTTCGTGATACTGTCCATTTTGAGGCGAGGGGGGCTGGCAATTAAACATAGCGAGAAGTGAAACGAGATCAGCGGCCAGGGTTTAGCTAACGTTAGCTGTGATGCGGGTCTATTTTTAGCAAGGCTCCGGCGATGCTAGCACGCCTGCTACCATATGTAGCCAGGGAGCCACATTTGGACCGCGGACCCTCCTCCTTCCACACCTCCTCCTCCTCCTCCTCCTCCTCTCGTGTTGGCTGCTCTGTCCTTGTCTTTACACCCAGACAATGGCTCTCTGTCAAACTACCGACCACAGCTGCGGCTGCCGTGTTGCTAACAGAGCTAACATCGTGTTAGCATGCTGAGCGGTAAGATAACGAGGGGAGAGCTAGCGGTCAGCTATCAGCAGAGGGACTAGCCAGGTGTCAACGCCCACAGTTACACGCTGCTTTCCTCAATAAGCGAGAAGCTTCCCGAATATAAAGCAGCTGCTGTTTCTAATGAATTTAGAATAAGCTTCAGTGAGCCATCTGACCGTGTTTTTACAGTTGTTTAAAACCAGCCCAGAGGCGTTGTCTCTCCTGGAAACCCCTCTCATCTGATCTGGAGTCAGTGGAAAGCACAATATCTGTAGTTTGTCATTGTAAAACAGCAGCTTCTCTGTTTTGAAAGAATAAGATAACTTGACTGTAGTTAAATAACGTTAGCTTCAGTTGATTTTAGTATGGGCATCAACAGAGCAGAATGGTTACCAAGCAACAGAGGCGCTGATTATACTTTGTACAGATGTAAATATAAAGTAACTGATGTTAAACACAGTTATGCCAGATTTTATGCATTATAGTTGACTGGCTATTATTACCAATACAAAATGATAGATTTTGAATATTGATTGTCATTGAGTTGTATTAAATAGGGGATTAGCTAACAATACATTTACTTATTTATTGAACCTGCTGGCCCTTTTTTTTCCTATTCTATGTCTATGAAAAATCCCCAAATGTTAAAGATGCACCTTTACAATTTCCAGGATTACATCTTTCAACTGTCTCAATCCCAAACCAAAAATATTCACTTGTGACAGAGAAAAGCAGTAAAAATTCACTCATTCCAAGATGACGTCTTTGGAAGCTTACTTCGTTGTGACCTTTGCAATTTTTTGTGTGATTTATACATGTTGTTGATCGACCTCAGTTCAGCACTTAATCGTACTTTGGTAAGCATCCTATGTTGAATGAGTGCAGATGTCAATTGGATTTGTCCACTTGGCAACAACTTGTTGCCGGAGATCTGAGTTGAGGTTTTCCGCCTCATAAGCTCTTTTATTGGCAGTTAAATACTTTGGCCAGCTGCCAAACATATTGTGGCCGGTCAGTCAGTCTGCGGTAGTGAGCAACATGGCCGCCCTTGCCCACTGCACCTACCATTGTCTGTGTAAAACATCAGCTCAGCCGGCAGCCTCAGTTTCTTATCAGCAAACACATTTTATCTGTGGATGTATGTAAGACCTTGGGACTTAGTTATACTTTGTTGGTGTGGATCATGTACTTGCTGACTTTAGAAGTGGACTGTAAATACAGATATACATTTGTAAAGGCTCTTCAGTTGTGTAATTGCTGGCAGAAGCGGTCAGATTCTGGTGTGCAGTGTGACATGATGCATTCTTGTCGTTCAGAGTCAGAAAGTACAGCATGTGTCAGCTGTGAGCAACGTCAGAGCCTGCAGGAAACCCAGGACTCGTACACTTCTAATATTGTCCACTGACCTGCCTGGAATTCCCTGGTGAAATATAAGCATGCTTGGTGCAGGACCCAGGTCATGAGCTCAGCTGTCTCCCAGCGAAGTCCAACCCCCATCTAACATCTAAGCAAAGGAGCTCCCTGCAGCACCCATACGTCAGAAAGACTACAGAACCTGTAGGTTTACCTCCTGCCGCTTTTACGAATTAACACTGACTGATTAACCCGACTGATAATGTTGACCATGCCGATGGATCAGTTCAACCTTCAGCTCAACAATAAGGATCACCAAAATGCCAAGTCGGGCAACTTTTTCTGAGCTAAAGATAGAAGTACAGGGCTTAAAGTATTCCGGCACCGTGCCGGATCTCCGGCGTGTGGCGTTTGACTGCGATTCATAAAAAAAAAAAAAAAAAGTAAACATTAAAAAAAAACCCTGTTGATGCGGGATATTGTCAAGCCCCTCCCTCAAACCGCTACTGTCCAATCCAACGTTAGCAATCGTTGCGTATGCACGTCATTGCGTGTGCATAGTTACGGTTGTTGTGACCATGGATGTACTCCGAAGGTTGTGACAGACATAGCAACAGTAACCACGGGAGGCCAGCAGCAGTTGATGCTGCGTTCCAGACAACTCAGAAAAAAACGGGCTGTGAATTGTGGAAAATGAATTGAACAGCGTCAAACTCGGAAATTACACGTATATTCATCTTCTTCCAAAATAAGCATAAATTGCTGCTGCATTGGTTTTCAGTGTTCAGCGGATAGTGACAATATGCCACACTTCGCTTTTCTCCTCCGACTTAACCTGTAGCGTGTACACTATGACCTCTCGGTTACCTCTGAGTGGTCTTGAACGCAGCATCCAGGCCGGTGTTTGTTTCACTGAAATCCAAAGATGGAGGGGAAATTCATGAAGCCTGGAGAAGACGTCCTTACTGAAAAAGGACTTTTGGTAGCTGGTGCCAAAAATGAAGAGAGCCAGGTGCTTGTTTCTGTGTGTTGTGCGCGAAGAAACTAATATATGCTACTAGTGGCAAAAAAGTTCTTCAGCGTCACAAAGGTAGGTCATCTTGTACCCTGCCAAGCACAATGCCAAAATTTGCCAAATCACTTAGCGTATGCGTCGGCTCAACTCCTTCCACATTCATCACAGTTTGTGACTGTGAAATGCTGACAAACAGGAAGCATGTCACCGTACCGTAGAAAAATGTAAGAGTCCAAGATACAATCATTATTATTGTTCTCGTTTCTTTTTGTAAGCAGCCATTTTGTTCATCTAAACTTGGCAAAAGGACACTAAGCAGGGTGGGGGAGCAGACAAGTTTCAGTGTTCATCCACATGAATCTGAATTGGAAACTCATGAGTTTAAATTAAGAGCTGTGGTGTTTTGTAACATCAATAGTAAACTGGGATGGAAATGTTTTTTGGGGGCACATGATAAAATAATGCTCATGAAAGTCAAAGCTGATGACCTCCAATATGCCCGCCGGATCTGGTGTTGCGTCACTCCGAAGTCATTGTGGCATCAGGGTGAAAAGTTGAGGAAAGTACAGAGATGTGGAAGTTTGTGAGTCAGAAGCTGCAGGGATTTTGAAACTGGATGAGTCTGACAATGTGTGCGACCTTTGACCTCCAGCAGAGTAGGGTTCAGTGATGGAGGGGACAGACTTAAAGATGCTCCACCTTCAAACAATCACATGCAGCATCCATGTGACAGTTGGCTGAGAACTGAAGCAGAAAATGTGCGCAGTTTTAAGGGTCAGCAGGCAGAAACTGGTTTGTTTGACATCGATTTTCCCTGAGGTCTTTTTTTACTCGACGCTGAGTCACTCTGTAAGACTGGCTATTACATTTCGTCTGGACCCAAAACAAATTGATCCTTCATTGTTCTTTACTCCCAATCCGTGAGTCCTCCCTCATGTTTCCTGACAATCTCATGATGTATGATCTCATGGTGCGTGTGGACGAAGGGCAGGAGGAGCACTTTCATTGATCCAGGCTCATGTTGGAGACGCCCTCCAGTCTCTCAAGGAATGTCCACAATCAGTTATTGGGCATGTTAACAATCAGTAGTTGGCTACTTGTTTAAAAAAATGACTAAACTCAAAGAGAATGTTTTGTTTAAAGGTTTTTTTTAACTCATAATTTCTGCACAATTTGAGGTTTAATATTTGAGCTATAAATCAAATATATGTTTCTGTTCAACAAATGGCCAAACAAAATATTAAAGATCCCCTCCAGACATGAATTACAACATATACAAATAGTCTGCTTGGAAAAATAATGGATTTTCTTCCACAAAAAAAGTATAAATTACACATTAAAATCCTTCTACCTCATTTAACATTCCAGAGTCTCTGAATATGCAAATGTTCATTTCTAAAGTTTTCCTGCTGGACACAAGATGTCTCCTCCTTCACTGTAAAGTCCATCTATCAGTGGATGTGCACTGGTGGCTTCATGTTTCTACATCACACTGTACAAGTTGATACTGGACCAGGACTGACTTCCTAACTATTTGTGATGTCACAAATCCTGCTGGTAGGCCCCGCCCCTTAAAATCAGATGTTCAGTGAGCACAGAGAAACTTTCCACTTTCAGCAGATGAATGTGAAAACATCCTTCTAGAGTCAAACTCTGCACAGACATCAAACATCACGCTGTAGGAACAACAAGAAACACTGATTTCTGACTGGAGGGGGCTTTAAATCACAATTGCTACACAACTTTCAGACATCACTTAAGGACATAAAGTAGAGCTCTATCACTTCTCGCCGCATGATTGACACTAACCCTACACTCCTCCTCCTCTTCCTCTTGCAGTGGTGGATCTCCTCTACTGGCGTGATGTGAAGACCACGGGTGTGGTGTTCGGCGCCGCTCTGCTGCTCCTCCTCTCTCTGATGGTGTGCAGCATTGTGAGCGTCTGCTCCTACATCGGCCTGGCTCTGCTCTCCGTCACCATCTGCTTCAGGATATACAAAGGCATCCTGCAGGCCATTCAGAAGTCAGATGAGGGACACCCATTCAAGTGAGTACCAGCAGGAGAGAAGGAATAAAGTCAGTAGCAAACATCCATGATTTCTGACAAACTATAATGTGATGGTAAAATGAATGGTTCAGAAACACTGCAATCATGGCTCCAAACAGGAACTACTGGGAAGAAAAGTGGGTCAGGAGTACCCTATTACCCACCAAATAGACTTTTTTCACAGCAGCCATTTTGACATTAAATAGTAGGGTAATCACAGGTGTTACCGATGATGCTAAGTAAGGTTGTGTTCCATTTAGCATTTTTTTTTGTGCTTGAAAAAGGACAAGCCAAAACCAAGCAATACCCAACCATGTCACCAACCATTTTATTGGTCCGCTGTGGCCCAGTGCATTCTGGTACTACTGTAAGGCTGCCCAGTTTTATGAAAAGAAAAAAAAGATCTTCCCAGAGTGGAAATTGCTCTTGAAAGGCAGTCTTCTGCCTGTCTGGTTTCATTGGGACTTGGACTCAATCCAATGATTAATCCTAATTATCAGTCAGCGCTGCAGGCAGTCTGACCTGTCTGCTCATATCATGATAAATGTCAGGCCCAAATTTTTATTTCATACTGTGATACAGAACTTTGTTTCAATATTTATGTTCTAAACCAACACAAGAGGTCAGAGGTCACAGGGCCCCATCAACACACAGAAATATATAAATATCTGTTTATTCGGGAGGATCCAGTAAAGCAGTGAGTTACTGTGCAGAGTGGATTGTTCACACTGCTGGTTCCTAGTTTTGTTTGGTTGCTTATCCTCCTTCCTGGCTGTTTGACAAAACCTTCTTACAGTGTTTTCAGCCACTGGTCTGCAAACTGACCTCACAGCACATTAAAGGCCAATTAGCTCAGATTAACATAAACTGGGGAAAAGTGAGCTCAGAGAGTGGCATTACAGGCTGATTTCTACAGATTTTACAGTTTGAAAAGCTCAGTGAGAAAGATTAAAGCTGCATAGAAGAGGAAACACCGCAGTCAGACAAACATGTCTGTAAAGATCTTAAGGTGACTCAGAATACTTTAGAAATCCTCAATAGCTGATGTCATGTTTTCAAGTAAAACTCCTTTAATCATCTTTCTGTAAGCAACTCTTTGTGTGACATTATAACCACACAAAGATTTTCATTTTTCATACACATTATTAGTCTGATCCTCACCATCTCTGCTCTGTAACCTATGTAACCTGCTACTCTGCTGTCCCTCTCAGGCAGTACCTGGACCAGGAGGTGGCACTGTCCGAGGACATGGTCCACAAGTACAGCGACATGGTTCTGGCCAAACTCAACAAGACCCTTGGTGAATTGAGACGCCTGTTCCTGGTCGAGGACCTGGTCGACTCCATCAAGGTGAGAACGACTCTGGTTCACAATATTTGGACCCGGACATGATCATGATTTACTATAATCGTAAAACACACTTCAAACTGGACACAAAATAAAACTCCCCAAAACCGTCTTTGTCAGTCTTTTAAATTACAAAGGCTACTTTGATTAAAATAAACCATTAATTCATAGAGTCAGAAACAGCCATATCGCTTGTCAATTCATTCAAAGTGTACAGAAACAAAATACAACTCAGCAAAAGTCTTTGTTAATCTTTCCACAACAATCACCAACTCCGCTTTGGTTGAAATAAATCCACCCAACAGCTGGCGTTCTCTGCCAGTTGATGAAAACCTTTATCTTTATGTGGTTTGTTGTTGGGTTTTACTTTTAATCATGTCTTCTGTACATGATGTAGACCTGCCGTCCTTTCAGTCGCTGGTTTCTTATGGATCAGCTGTGTTAATGGGTAGCACCTACAGTGCGTTAATATGACACTGAGAGCTCTGCAGCTGTCAGAGGCCTGTCGTCACCTCCCTGCACCCTCCCGCCCTCCGACCTGCAGTCCAAATACAGATCTGCACTCAGTCCATCAGCCACAATAACGGAGCACATGAAATTCCCTAAGAGGGTAAAAAAAAGTCTGATTCTTTTAATCTGATCAGGGTCGTGTGTGTGTGTGTGTGTGTGTGTGTGTGTGTGTGTGTGTGTGTGTGTGTGTGTGTGTGTGTGTGTGTGTGTGTGTGTGTGTGTGTGTGTGTGTGTGTGTGTGTGTGTGTGTGTGTGTGTGTGTGTGTGTGTGTGTGTGTGTGTGTGTGTGTGTGATGTTTCACATTCTAATTATGGGATGTTCATGTTATTCTTCTGCCTCTGATTAATTTCCTGTTATCCTCCCTGCTTTGCCAGCAGAGAATATTTACAACCACACCGGCAGGTCATCAAAATGTCACACACATTAAATCTGCCTCATAGCCTCCAGTCAGAAATCTAACTGTTGGGTTTCTTTTCACTGGCGGCCATGTTGGCTCTGGCTGTTTTCCAGTTCGTCATTAACACGAGCAGAAAAGCTGTCATCTTATTTTACACACTGTGAACATTCATATATTAAAACTGCTTCAGGGTTCAAGTCTGTTTTACAAAGTAAAGATTAGTTTGAAGACTTAGACCAGCTGAAGGTTTTGAGCTTTGGACTTTGTCGTAGTGGCAGGTGTGTGTACGACCAGTGAAGAGTTCTGGATGTCTGAACAACGTGACGTTGCTCAAAAAACCTAAATGGTTGAGTTGATTCATTCCTTAGAATGAGCTGTTTTTATCTACAGAGGGAGCGCTATGTTGAACTGACATATGTCTGCAGTATTTTTGGTGTCCACACACTCATGGTTGAATCGAGGGTTTTCAGTTGGTTGCAATCTACAATCTCACCACTAGATGCCACTTAATCCCACATTTAATGCTTTACTTTGAGACATTTATCAAGCTTAACTGAAATATTTTCTGGTTGTAGAATTTTCTTCTTTATAACGATATATCAGTGTTGTCAGATCCCAGCATGTTAACGTTATTGAAGGTTTAGATCTGATAGGAGTGAACAATTAACTTGAATCAAAAAGAGGACTCTTTGCATAGTACAGTCAATCATGTTATATATTACCAGTCTGTCTCTCTTCAGACTGTGCAGCAGGTTCATATGTGCATTATGTCTCCTGCATAATGCTGTGAGTGAATACAGAGCAGAGCTGAACCTTAATTGATTCCTGAGAGGAAACTCTGAGTGGTATTGACCCCAATAAACCCTGTTTATTTCCCTCTTTCATTAAAATGATTGTTGGAGGAATGAGCTGTGTACCATTTAACATCATAAGTGCTTATTAAATACTGCAGCTGTGACCTCTGACCCCTAAAACACAAAGAAGTTGTAAGTAATGCGGAGTGTTTCCTCTGGTCTATAGAAAGCATGTTGTTCTTGTTCATGTCTGTTAAATGTGGTGGTCTTCAGGTTTGTTCTCTCTCCCTCTGCAGTTTGCTGTGTTGATGTGGATCCTGACCTACGTCGGTGCCTTGTTCAACGGGCTCACTCTTATTATTCTGGGTGAGGAAACAGTCTTGTGTGCTGATACAAAGCTTTCCTTTCCCATCAGCCTTAGAGGCTTTAACTGATGTTGTATCAGTTAATTTTCTGTGGAGGACATTAATATGTTTTACTTTGGCTCCATCTGGTGGTGATATGAAGAATACTGAGGCCAGCTCATTGACTGGACTGATTCTTCTATAGAATATAATGAAAGATCAAACAGTAACTGTAATCTGAGTTTCAGTGAACGAGTTCAGGTTCACTCAAAATGCAACTTGTGTTCTTCTTCAGGTCTGATTGCAGTGTTCAGCTGCCCGATCGTCTACGAGAAACACCAGGTGAGATCCACAGTCACAATAACAATTCAACATTTCCTTTAAAATGCTGTTTGTGGAGAAATCCGAGGATTTTTTTCCCTTTCCCTCAAACAGATTTTTCTGCTGTCCATCTGACAGCTGTTTGTCTTTAATGGACCCAGTGCACATGAGAAAAACATCTGCACATTTTAGTTTATTCCAAACATCCTTACGGCTTTACAAAAGTAAATTGAGTCAATAATAAAACACAACTTAAAGGCAAACGTGTCGAAGAATGACTTTTAGTGTGAAAACAAGACGTCAGTGTATTATTGATTTGTGTGCAGTGAGTACAGAGTGTCTTTATTTCCATTTTAACCTCAAACTCGTGAGAACATTATTAGTTGTTCGGTCAACATCACCAACAGCAGTCTCATTGTTTACCAGCATGTGAAAAGTTCAGTGGTGGAATGTAAAGAAGTACATTTACTCAAGTACTGTACTGTTATACAACTCAGAGCTACTTGAGTATTTCCATCATATATTTAATGCTACTTCATACTTCTACCTCACTACATTTAGATTAGTAAATGTTTTTACTTATGAAATCAATGTGTGGTTGAGACTCCTTGAGTTTATCAGTATCGGAGACATCTCACATAGTTTCATTAAAATAACAGCTTGAGGTCCAAAGCCTGAAAATAAAACAGAAATAAGATAATCAGAGTAAAGCCATAAAACTGAAAGATTTGTGTATCAGAACTTTTCTTCTTTCCTCTCCCAATTAATCATGTGAAGACCCCTCAGATTTATCTGGTGACCCTGTGGAGGGGCCCGGCCCCTAGGTTGGGAACTGCTGGACTAAACTGGCTAACTGTATATAAAATGGATCAAACTAGCTCCATCTGGAGCAGCTCTAACATTGATGCATTAACAATGTAATCAGTCACAGGCTGGAGTACTTTTACTTGTAATTCTTTATGTACATTTAGTTAATAATACTTCTTGAATGTAGGACTTTTTACATCAAAGTATTAACTAAAGGATCGGGGGACCACCTTGTTGTATTGTTCAGCCACAGAACTCAGTGATACATGATGGGGCTGCAGAACACATCAATAAGAAGAACTCACAGAATCCACAGATTTGTTTCACACATTCTCTTTTTGTTTTGCTTTTGGAGGAAAAGGGATTAATATGGAAGACACCAGGTTCCCTGTTGATACTAGATCACATGAATGATTAAAGTATGAAAACAGATTTTACTGAAAGCTTCTGCTGAGCGTCTGTCCGCCCTGCACACTGACTGCTGTGGTCCTGACACTGTGTGTGTGTGTTTTCAGGCTCAGATCGACCACTACCTGGCTCTGGTCAACAACAAGGTTAAAGACGTTGTTGGAAAGTAAGTTTTCATCCCTGAATCTCTTTTTGCATACATTTCCACTGTGAACTGACACTCGCTGCATTCTCCAATAGTATGACACAAATGAGATGGAATAAACCTTTAACAGATATGAGCTGTGTTATTTACCTCCTCAGACTCGCTTTAGTTTTTCAGCACAGTTGATCAAATGATACAGCTGTGTTTCTGTTGCCATGACAACTGCACAACCTAAAACAAGCAGCATGAGGCAGGGACACACATGAATGAATCTGATTTGAACATGAACCTGGAAAAACCTAGAAATTTAGTGACTAGTTTTCCAGTCATGGAAACACCTGAGAATTGATTACAAATGACCAAATATCCTGGAAAATAATCCATGTTGTCCTGGAAATGTTATTTCATATGTAAAGAGTCTAATCTGGAGTCAGTCGCTCTCTTTTTCAGGTGGCACACTGATGCAGCCTCCGTAACCGCTTTGATCATATTTGTTCTCCCCGTCTTCCTGCAGGGTCCAGGAGAAGGTGCCTGGGATGAAACGCAAAACAGAGTGAAGTAACGACAAGTCGGAGTTTGGATCCAGGAAGTCCTGAGAGGAAGATGGTTGGAGGGGGAGGGGGTGTGTACGGGTGAGGGAGGGGCGGGGGGGTGTGGATATGAAGGAAGTCTGGAGGAGGAGAGGAGGGGTCTGGCGTGGACGCAGCCCTTCTAACTTTATTCGTCAAAATAATAAAAACACTTTTTTTCCAGTTCAGAATTCCTTTTTTTGTGTTTTCTGGAAAAGTTGAAGCAGGTCCGAGTTGAGCTGAGCTTCATGACACTGAGGTCGGCTCGATGACACTTTTATTTTTTCATCGAGTTTTGAAATGTTTGTTTCTGTGAGACGGTGAGACTCACAGAAACACATTTTAATCTTGAATGAACCCTCCCTCTCCCCACCCAGTGCATTGTGGGAGGGCAGATGCTCCTTCAGCCGGGCTCGGTTAGATTTTTCGGCTTTTTTCCTTTCCCTGCCCACCGTCGGAGCGGAGAGATTTTTTTTTCTTCGTCTGCTGTTTTTGAGAAAACGAGAGCGAGCAGCAAACAGCACCTCATTTGTATTTTTCCTTATTTTGGTATGATTACTGAGTTAGAAGTATTTTGTGATTTTACTGTCGTGTCCTTCAAGCTTTGAGCTTGTTTCCTCGGTAACCTGCTGCGTGGTTTCGCCTCGATGTGACGAAATTTGTGAACGACGTCTTTGACTCCTGATGAGGCAGCGGGCGGGGGTGGGGGGGGGGGGGGGGCTTGTACTACCATTTAAAACGTCATTGCTTCTGAGTAACTCTAGCTAGAAACACCTAGAAAACCTTTGCCAGACAAATAAAACACATTAATTACATGAAAGTCGTTATTTCCATGTCATTGCAGCTGTCTAGTAATGAAAACTCTGGAAGAAACACGTTTACATTCATCCACATCAGATAAAATATTTAAAAAGTGAAAAAAAAAAATGAAATGGGATTTAAAGAAAAAAATAACCATACTGTCTGTGGAGCCAATATCTTAATAAAGTTGCAACTTGATGTGACTTTGGGAAACCTTCAAGCATTTGTTTGTTATGCAAGTATAATTGTGAATGATAAACTTCATACTTCAATTGTGACGATAAAAAGCTTCCAGCTGGGAGCCGTGTTTGTGGAATGCATTGTGAGATGTAAACAATTATCAATAAAGCTTCTAGACGAAGAAAGTCCCGCCTCCTCATCTGTCTGTCAACTTGGCTAACTCATGTTAGCTCCTGTTAGCTTCAGACCGCCAAATATGGAAGTCCATTTCCAGGAAAGGAAATCAAAAGGATGAATGTAAAGTACAGAGTTAAATTATAGAAACAGTGAGTCAATCAAATGTTAAAAAGTCAGTTGTGTGATATGAAGTCTGGATTGCAGCAGTAAGTAAAACTTTAAGTTAGCGTCTCGTAATTTCGGAATACAAAGTCAAGAATTCCAAATCAAGAGAAGTAGACAAAGTTGTAATATTTTGGATAATCTGTGTTCTCTCGTTTTTTTTTACTTTAAACCAAAATTGAGGTGCAAATTCAAAAATCTGACTAATCTTACTGAGATACTAAGTCACAGATAAAAATAAGTAATAATCCTTCAGATTTAAGAAAACCCCCAAACATTTGAGCTAAACTTATGAGGCATTAAGTGTAAGAGAATTTATAGGGTATTATTTTTGCTGAGCCAAAATTACAATACTTAATCCAAATGAGATATTCAGTCAATCAGGACTTTCTGAAACCAAATGTTGACAAAGTTTTGGCTTGAAGGTTGAAATTTTGATTTATATCACAATTTCTAAATCAAAGTTTTTGCATATGTAAATAAAGGCTATTGTCATTCCTTTTTTTTTTTTTTTTGGCAGAAATGGGCTTCCATAGATGGTAGAGATTTGAGTTTTCTGCTGTTTCTGCAAGGTATTATTCAGTGGCAGTATATATATAAAGGTATTATTACATGAACCTAAAGTTCAGTTTGACGTCTCTAACGGCAACAGATAAATAGTTCTCTAATTTATTTGTAGGGATCTAAATTATTTCTGTGCATACTGTTCTGATTTAAGCAGATTATATCAGTGCAGTTTATATAACAGTATGGATTTAACAGATCAATATTCAGAACAGCATGACTGCAGATTCAGATTATTAACCAATTTGTACCCAAAGACCAGGGGCGTGTCCAGAAGGGGGACCTGAAATCTGATTGGCCACCCCATTAACCTTACTTCTAAAGCTAGAGTGAACATACTGGTATCATCTAACCCACTGGTTCCCAACCTTTTTCCTTCAGGGAGCCCTTTTCTACCACTGACACATTTTCTTTTTTTTATTCAAATTCTACATTATAACAATTGTGACTCAAAACTGTTCATTTAGGCTGAAAGTTCAGTTTTTGCCCTTGAAAACAGCAGACCCCCCCCCGCTGAGGAAACCACACGTTATGCCTTACTTCTGAAACAAGTAAGCTGGACCCTGTGGTGGTGATGTTTCTCCCAGAGAGACAGAGCTGGCAGGCCTGAGGAGTCGCAGGTGGATTCAAAATAAAAAAAAAAGTGGCCTCAAAGCCAGAGGGTTGTAGGTTCGAACCCGTGGGCAGGCTGTGTGGAGCTGTCTCCGCTCTGGCAGCACAATAGTGCCATTTGTTGCAAAACTCTGAAACTTGAACATTAAACTTTTGAACTACAGTGGATGTGTATTTACCCTTTTTCCATTTACACATTTAATTAGTAATATAAAGCCCTCCAAGAAGTTACACCAGTAAGCAAATGATTCTACATCTGTAATAACGGAGTAACAAAAGAAGAAAAAAGTTTTTGAAGCTTTTAATGTTTTTACTAAAAGCAACAATAGACACATTCAGTGTTAAGGATATAATGTCATATAGGCTGAAAAATAAATAAATGGACATACACAAACATTCAGAGGTCCACCAACTGCTCAGAGTTTCTGACCTATCGTGTCAAACACCGTGCAGCCGCAGGGGAGGAGAGGTACTCTGCGAACCTGTTGCGGATGGAGGAAGCCTCTGCGGAAGCGTCGTCGCTCTGAAGCCTCTGCACCGGCAGCAGTCCCTCACCGGCCCCGTCTGCGCTGATGTCCTCCGTCAGGTCCCACCGCATGAAGTTGTGCAGAATGCAGGCGGCCCGAACAGCCAGCTCGGCTGCCACCGGTTCAATGCGCATCACCTGCTGGAAGATCCGGAACTCGCTGGCCAGCCTGCTGAAGACGCAGTCCACAAGCCTCCTCGCCTGGGACAGCCGCTGGTTGTACAGGCGCTGCTCTCTGGGCAGGTTCGATCCCGGATACGGTCGCATGAGGTTCCGCAGCAAAGGAAAGGCCTCGTCTCCCACCAGAACGTGAGGCAGGGGGCCCAGATGTTCTGCACCTGGGAGGTGTTGATCCGGCGGGAGGCGGAGCGTTGCAGTCCGGAGGGCTTGGCCAAACACTGAGTCCGACAGTACGTCTCCATCGCTGCTCCCGCCACACGCCCCCAAGTCCACCAGCCGGAACCGGTACCGGGCATCGACCACTGCCGTAAGCACGATCGAAAAGGACCCCTTGTAGTTGCGGTACAACGGTCCTGAATTTGCGGGGGCCTGGATAATAACATGTTTGCTGTCCACAGCGCCAACGCAGTTTGGGAAGTTCCTCAACTCCATGTAGTCCTCCGCCATCGCCCTCCAGTCGGCCTCTCTGGGTACCGGCATGAAGTCGTCCACCAGGCAGTCCCAGACGGCCTGCGATACCTGCCGGACGATGCCGCACACAGTGGACACACCCACCCTGTAGCTGTGGGCCACGGACCGACAGGACTCCCCGGAGACAAGATACCTGGAACCAAGAGTTACAGTCACACTCACTATTACAGAGGTAGACACAGAAAACTCATTCATACAGCGGCTCGGGTCCAGGTCTCCCTCAGTCTAACAACAGAACCTTTAATGGTCCAGATGTGTTCTTTTGAATTCATTCACTCTGAGGAGGAGCACACATTCAAACAGACTGACCGCAGACAGATGCTCAGCCTCTGGGAGGGGGAGATAGGTTTCCTGTAGTTGGTCTCCACGGCTCTGATGAGCGGGCCGACTCTGTGCAGCAGCCCGTCGAACTGCTCCACACTCAGCCTGAAGTGTGTCTGGAAGCGGCCACCGTCCAGCCGCAGCTCGCGGACCAGACGGTGGAACTCCCCCTGCTCGGGCCTCGCCTGGTTGGTCTCGCGGACCCAGCTCCGACGTCTGCGCCTGGCTTTCAGCCTGTGATACAGGACGGCGACCGCAAGAAGCCGCTTCTGCTGGGGGTCCATTGGGTTTGAGTTCGCGGACCGGAATTGGAGAAAGGGGCCCGGGTCGGGGGGGGGTCAGCTTCTTCTTCTCTTCTGTTTAATGGCGGTTCGAACACTGCCTTTAGGTACCGCCGCCTAGTGGTGGGAGGTAGTGTACTACTTGTCGTTTCCATTTTATGCTACTTCCTACTCCACTCCATTTATCTGACAGCTTTAGTTCCAGAGTCAGATTATTAACCCATTTGTGCCCAAAGACCAGGGGCGTATCCAGAAGGGGGACCTGAAATCTGATTGGCTACCCCATTAACCTTACTTCTAAAGCTAGAGTGAACATACTGGTATCATCTAACCCACGGGTTCCCAACCTTTTTCCTTCAGGGAGCCCTTTTTTTCCACTGAGTAAACCCCAGATGACCCCTGACCCCTGAGTTCAAATCAGATCCACCTCAAACATACATTATACTGTAATGGACCATTACCATTATGACTACTTTAGGTACATTTTGATGCTAATACTAGGTCCTGCTTTCTGGCTGCCATGAGCCACTCTGGTATCAAAGCACATCGTAGTAAACTAGACCACTATTAAAATATCATATCAATGTTAGGTGTGTACAGGAATACTGTGCTACAAAATGGCTGCAATTAATGAAAAGATGATGCTATAATTCTGTGATAGACTGTGACTGATTTACACTACACTAGGGGCAGGTGTAACTGTTGTTACTATTTCTATCGGTATGTCTGTGACACCTAAAAAACATCAAACAGTTAATTAGTCTTTGCAGAGGAACAGAAGTGTTTTTTCATTGAGTGGCTCAACTGACCGACAATTTTAAATCTTAAAATTTTCCCAAAACATTAAAAGTCATTGAAAGGTCCCTGGATCTGATGTTTGAGTGTAAGAGACCCCGACATTAAAGAAGGAAAAACACATGAAGGTCTAAAATACAGAAACCTAGGAAACAACCACCAGAACCTGTGTTATTCAGTGTTTAGGGATGAATCAGACGAGTTCATTATGTTTTATGTGCTCTGGCATTTGCAAATGAGTCTGGTGAAGCCGGGCTAATGAGAGGCAGGTTATTAACAGGTGCTGCTGATTGCTGTTGCTTTGTGCGGAGTTTGGAGTCATTCTGCTGTGATCCCTCTACCTGTGGGACGACTTTCAGGTTCAGTTTTCACAGGAAGACGTGTTCCATGAGCCGAGCTCCCTCCAGGTCCGGGGACAAGACTCTAGTCCCGCTCTGGTTGAGCAGGATGGTTAGTACAGCCAGGCTCAGGTCAGCCCGGTTCAGCTTAGAGCACCGAGACGCCACGTTAGCCCAAACATCCACGGTAGAGCGGCTATCCTCAAGGATCATCTCCTCCAAAAGCCCTGAAAGGACCGAGACACACAGCGAGATCAGAGGTCACACACTGCAACTCTGCACCACACTGCCTAATCAGCATAAATACCACCTCAGCTGCCCCCCACCTCGGCACAGGCGGGTTGGTTTGGAGCCAGGAAATGACAAACTGCATATGAGCTGTGTTTGTGTTACCTCGTCCTCTGCTGACAAAGCTATCCAGGAGCTGCAGAGCTAGCTTCTGCTGCTGAGGGTCTGCCAGCAGAGTGGAACAGGCCCCGCCCACTGACAAGATGGCTGCCTGGCCCCGCTGAGGCTCCGTCAACAGCTGGAGGAGGGAGAGGCTGGACGAGCGACACAGAACCCACATACAGTCCTCTGAGAGAGAGTGAGATTCATACACTGATTATTGTGTGAGTTGTGCAAGAAAACACTCTTTCTATACTTGTGAGGCCTCTTTGACACAATTCCCCAACCGTAACCTAAACCGGATTCTAACCTGAGCCTTAATGCCACGTCTGAACCTTCAAACAGTCCCTTAAAGTAGTGAGGACCAGCCCAAATGTCCTCACAAGCAATGCTCTCTCTCTCTCTCTCTCTCCCCCCCCCCACACACACACACACACACACACACACACACACACACACACACAGACCAAATGTGAGGTCCTTGCAGTGGTTCATGAACTCGGTGGCGCTGTGGAGCAGGCCTCTCCTGCACATGCTCAGTGCGGTCTTCCTGTCCAGCCTGCAGGCCTCATAAATGACGGTGGCCAACGTCAGACACATGTTCGCCACAGCTGGGTTCTTCTGAGCGTGCTCAACCAGGATGTCGCCCAGCTCCTCAGAGAAGGTCAGCCTGTGGGGATGAAGGCTGTAAGGATGTGAACTCAGAGACGATAAAAACAGCTTCAGTCTGATTGTTTGTTGTTTACTTGTTGTTGGTGACAGCGTGGGTGACGAGCTGTGTGTCGCCGTGCTGCAGGACGCAGAGGACGAGCTGCAGGGAGAGATCAGCTGACAGCCCTTCCCCGGCCAGGGCGGTCATCAGCTGGGCCTGGAAGAAGAGCAGGAGAGGGGGGAGAGATCCCGGGGGGCCCTTCACACCTGAGAGACAAACTTAGTCTCGTTAAGCTCATAGAGGTCTGGAGAGAATCTGTTTTATTGGCAGTAGTGTCTCCACACTTTGTCAGTGCTGAAACAATTCCTCAACCCCGACTCAGGTCTGTTTATAGTGTGACTGTGAAAGTGTTTTTACATATACATACAGTACATACAGATGTTCTTTAGGCTCGTGTTTTGTTGTCACAGAGGAAATAAATTCAGTGAAAAGGAGTCCAAAGTATCTCCTGTCTTCTTTACTGCAGAAACAAAGAGAGCAGCTCAAAAAGACTAAAAGAGAGAAAACTGTAAATGTAGGATTTACATTCTGCTTTAAAGCTGCAATAAGTAATTATTATAAAGCTATTTTTGTCATATTTACTGAAACTTTCACTATATCCTGACAGTAGTCAGCCCGGTGGATTCTTCCAGATGTCATTAGGAGCACTAGGAGGAGCCAGAGGAACCGGATCTTTTAGAGTATCTGTCTCATGTACTGCTGTCAGAACACAGTGAAACTGCAGCAATAATGACAAATTGTTATTTTTATTATTGACTTTAAAAGTTGCCGACTACAGCTTTAATGGTTCTATATCATCCTTCTCTTTTACAACATAAAAGGCTTCAAAGTTAGAACTCTCTTCTCTGACTAATTATATCAGGGACCTGTAGTGAATGAAAAGTACAATATTTGTGTGTAAAGTGAGAAGAAAATACTCAAATTGAGTACAATCTCAAATGTGTATTTCAGCACAGTACTTCAATAAATGTACAGCCGTCTGTGTGTTTCCCACCTTTAAACATCTCCATGGTGTTAAGGTTCCTCAGGACTCCTCGAGGAGATCTGGCAGCGAGGAGAGCAGCTTCTTCATACTGAGCCGAGTCAAAGAGCTCAATAAACCTGACGGAGAGAAAGGATTCAGAGAGACAGTTGGCAGAGTTCACAGAACCTGATTGGAGCTTGTTTGTGAACGCAGCACCTGTCCAGGTGATCTGTCAGGAGTTTGGACTCATCGACCCCGGTCGGCTCATCATCCTCAAACAGCTCAGCGTCAATGCTGCGAACATCATCGTCCCTCACTGCAGGACAAAGCAAATATAAATAAATAGATGATAAATTGCATGTGAGCACTGGGACACTTTACCTCCTTTGTTTTTGTGTTTAATTTAGGCCCCTGAACATAACATCAAGATTGTGGCATACTGAATTGTGTTTATTGAAGACATAAAATAGCACTGGGAAACAAAACATTCTGAGTTGAGACAATATTTGACCATTTTCACTGATTATTTATTGTCTGCCCCCAACTCTTCACCCTTTTAATGTATAAAAGCATCTGAACTGACATTACACCATCACAGGACACTGAAACTCTCTGTTCCCAGATGTTTTTGTTTAATCTAAAAGTCTTTTGATGGCAGCAGTGTCTCACCGTTGGTCAGTCTGATGTTCTCCAGCATGGAACCCAGGAGTTCCTCCAGAGGAACCTGCTGCTTCTCCTCCTCCCAGCTGGACAGACGGTCAGACACAAACCTGAGACGCTCGTATCTGCAGGCAGAGAAAGAGCTCAAACATCTCGTTTGTTTACGCGAATCCTTTCACAGTGCTGACGTTAACTTTGTGCCAGCCATGACATCAGATTTTGTGAAGCTGAATGTCACGATTAACGACCCTAAAAGCATTCTTGTTCTCTATTTATAATGACTGCAATACGTTCAGTTTATTTCTGAGTTTCAACATCACTGGCACCAAAACTGGACTACCAACTGGGCAAAGTGGACAGCCACCTCATGGCCTCCAGACATTTATGCCCCAAAAGCTACATCCCCTGGGACCTGCATTATTACCTGTGTCAAAATCCTGATAAAACCTTAATTATGTGTAGTTCACATTCTGAGCACAAGCTTCGCATTCCTAAATGATGCTGACTACAACAAACTAACTAGCATACAGTGAACCTGGGGCCAGGCAGTAGCAGTATTTATTTTTTCTTTTGAAAGATTTTTTTGGTTTTGTTTGTTTTTTTTAAGCATTTTCAGCTTCATTGGACAGATTGAGAGTGGAGAGGCATACTAGAGGCCTGTGTGCAGAAAGCGCACTGGGGAAAAGCAATGTCATTAATTCCAAAACAATGCAGCTACACATTTGTAGGAGAGCAGCTGAGTTTAGCTAAATATGTACATTTAAACCTGCAAACAACAGATTTTTTGGCCACATGGGGGCAGTGGAATCCAGTTGTGAACATAGCACAGACATGTTTCTGAGCAGGTAGTGTACGGTGGCTTTTTACAGCTATTTCTCTGAAAGTGATCCTATGAGAGCGCTGAGTAAAGTTGTGGCTGAACAGATAAACAATGAGTTGAAACTCACTACAAAGCTCAGTAAAGCTGAGAGGAGCTGATTCAGCTGATAATTCAATACCAGAGACGAACAAAACTTCATCATTACTATCATTACTGTCATTTCATACATTGTTAAGATGTCCATTATAGCTGCTTTAAATGCTGGAGCAGATTGCAAAGTGAACCTTGACAGTTTTGAAATGAACTGATCTAAGTAGCTAAGTTATGTGAAACCAAC